CGGATTTGCCTTTCCAAAATGCAGCTGCTCACATTTATCTAAATTAAACTCCACCTGCCACTCCTCGTATGGGGACACCTCTTATTCAGTTATATTTAAATAACAAATCATTAGATAATATATATTTTAATAAGCTGGATCTGCTGCTTTCCTTACCTATTCTAACTATTGTTAATATACCTAATGAAACGGATACAAAATTCAACATTGGCTAAATACATCTTCAATAAAAATGCTGAACAAGACTGTGCTTGACAAAGATTCCAGATACTAAGGAAAAAGGCATTAAATCTTTGATTTACCACTTTTACATCAAATTACTTACCTGCTTGAGGTAAAATGTTTTTGATTAAAAAACTTCTGAAATAAGTAAGGAAAAAGGCTATTATGGATCAATGATGGAAGATGGAGTAGAATATATATACATATACACAGGGCGGCATGGTGGGTCAGTGGTTAGTACTGCTGTCTCACAGCACCAGGGACCCGGGTTCGATTCCACCCTCAGCCGACTGTTTGTGTGGAGTTTGCACATTCTCCCCGTGTTTGCGTGGGTTTCCTCCCACAGTCCAAAGACATGCAGGCTAGGTGGATTGGCCGTGCTAAATTGCCCGTAGTGTTCAGGGATGTGTGGATTAGGTGGGTAATAGTGGGATGGTTCTGGGTGGGATGCTCTGAGGGTCGGTGTGGACTTGTTGGGCCGAAGGGCCTGTTTCCACAGTGTAGAGATTCTATGATCTATTGCATCATGCAAGACGTCCTACAGCATTTCAAAGCTGTATCATAGCTTGTGCCCTGCTATAAATCCATCTTTGAATCCTCTTCTCACAGGATTGCATTTTTGTTAAGAGTTCTGAATTATTTTCTTAAACAAGGGAATCACGAAGAAAAGACAAAAGGATGAGATGACCAGCCAAAAAAAAAAGCAAATGTATTAGCCCAAATTGCCTTTTGTGGATAATTCTCTCATTTTCTACATCAATTGAGTTCAATGGAATTTGAAGTAACAAATGTGAGCAGAATTCAAACAAAGGGATGGACATGAAATAAGAAAGTTAGTTACTAAGACTGAAATGAAAAAAACAAAACAAAAGGCAGCTCACTTTTAACACTTCCACGGGGAGGCGAAGGCCTAGTGATATCATTCAGGTTGCAGACTTGCTCGCTGAGCCGGTGTGTTTGATTACAGACATTTTGTCACCCTGCTAGGTAACATAGTCAGTGCGCCTCCAGTGAAGCACTGGAGTTCTGTCCCGCTTGTTATTTATATGCCTTGGTTTACAGGGGTGGGTTGGCATTACTTCCGCTTCCCTTTTTCAGTGGTGTTTGTATGTTGGGTCCGGTTCAATTTGTTTGTTGGTGGACAAATAACAAGCGGGACAGAACACCAATGCTTCACCGGAGACGCACTGACGACGTTACCTAGCAGGGTGATGAAACGTCCACAATCAAACACACCGGCTCAGCAAGCAAGTCTACAACTTCATCTACAACCCGAGCTACAAATCTTCCCAAAAACTTTAAGTGAAATTATCACTAGGCTATCAGTCCAAGAACTCGGCTAATGTTCTGGGATCCCAGGTTCAAATCCCATTACAGCAGAGATAGTGGAATCCAAATTCCAATTTAAAAAAATCTGGAATTAAGAATCTACTGATGACTATGAAACCATTGATTTTTGGAAAATCCCATCTGGTTCACCAATATCCTTCAGGCAGGCCATTTGACCCTCTAGTCACACTGACCCTCCGAAGAGCTTTCCATTCACACTCACCTACCTACCTTCTCCCTGTAACCATTTCCCTTGGCTATAAAAACACATCCATGGACACTATGGGGCAATTTAACTTGGCCAATCCACCTAACTTGCACATCTTTGGACTGTGGGAGGAAACTGGAGCATCCAGAGAAAACCCATGCAAATGCAGGGAGAACGTGCAAACTCCACACAGGCAGTTGCTGGAGGGCGGAATTGAACACGGGTCCCTGGTGCTGTGAGGCAGCAGAGCTAACCACCGAGTCACCGTCTCTTGGCTTCAGGTTAAACGCAGGCAAAGAACCTTCCTGATTACCACATATCATCCTCCCTCGGCTGATGAATTGGTACTCTTCTGTGTTAAGCAACACTTGGAGGAAGCACCGAGGATGGTAAGGGCACAAAATACACTCTGGGTGGGGTTTTCAATATCCACCACCAACAGTGCTACTGATCGAGCTAGTTGAGTTCTAAAGGACACAGCTGCTAGTCTGGGTTTGCAGCAGGTGGTGAGGGAACCAAGAGGGAAAACATACTTGACCTCATCGTTACCAATCTACCAGCTGCAGATGCATCTGTCCACGATGGTATTGGTGAGAGTGATCACCGCACAGCCTTTGTGGAGACAAAGTCCCACTTTCACATCAAAGGTAATTCTCATCGTGTTGTGTGGCATTATCACGCTAAATGGGACAAACTTCAAACATTTCTAGCAACACAAAACTAGGCATCCGTGAGATGCTGTGGGCCATGAGAAGCAGAACTGTACTCTGGCTTATCCCATACCCAACCACTACTATCAAGTCAGGGGATCAATCCTGGTTCAATGGAGGGCACAGGAGGACATTCAAGGAGCAGCGCCAAGCATACCTGAAGATGAGGTGTCAACCTGGTGAAGCTACCAAACAGGACCACGTGCATGCCAAACAGCACAAGCAGCAAGTAATAGACAGAGCTAAGCGATCCCACAACCAATGGATCAGATCTAAGCTCTGCAATCCTTCTAAATCCAGTCATTAAATGGTGGTGGACAATAAAACAATGCACTTGAGTGGAAGGCTCCACAAATATCCCTATCCTCAAGATGGAGGAGCCCAGCATTTCAGTGCTGAAGATAAAGCGGAAGCATTCACAACAACCTCCAGCAAGAAGTACTGAGTGGATGAACCATCTCGACTTCCTCCAGTGGTCCCCAGCATTTCAGATACCAGTCCAGCCAATTCGATTCACCCCATGCAATATCAAGAAACGATTGAAAACACTGGATACTGCAAAGGCTATGGGCCCTGACAACATTATGGCAATAATACTGAAGAAGTCTGCTCCGAGAACTTCCCATCCCCTAGCCAAGCTGTTCCAGTATAGTTAGTTACTGGCATCTACCCGACAATGCGGAAAAGTGCCCAGGTACATAAAAAGCAGGACAAATTCAACCCAATCAATTACTGCCCCATCAGTCTACACTCAATTATCAGTAAAGTGATGAAAGCTATCAATAGTGCTATCAAGCAGCACCTGCTCAGCAATGTCGACTTTGGGTTCCACCAGTGCCACTCAGCTCCTCACCTCAATACAGGCTTGGTTCAAACATGCAGAAAGAGAGGTGAAGACCAGAGATGAAGTGAGAACAACAGAATGCGGCATCAAGAAGCCTTAGCAAAACTAGAATCAATGGGAATCAGGAAGCACACTCTCCGCTGGAGTCATACCTGGCACATAGGAAGATGGCTGTGGTTGTAGAAGATCAGTTATCTCAGCTCCAGGACATCTCTGCAGGAATTCCTCAGGCTAGTGCCCTAGATCCAAACATCTTCAGCTGTTTCATCAATGACCTTCCCTCCATCATAAGGTCAGAGGTGGGGATGTTCACTGCGCAATGTTTAGCAACATTCATGATTCCTCAGATACTGAAGCAGTCCATGTTCAAATGCAACGAGATCTGGACAATATCCAGGCTTACCCTGACAAGTGGCAAACAACATTCACACCACACAAATGCCAGACTCTGGCCATCACCAATAAGAGACAATCTAACCACCACCCCTCGACATGTAGTGTTACTGCCACTGAATCCCCCACTATCACCCTCCTGGGGGTTACCATCGACCAGAAATTCAACTGGAGTTGCCATGTAAACACAGTGGCTACAAGAGCAGGTCAGAGGCTTGGAATCCTGTGGTGAGTAACTCACTTCCTGTCATCATCAACAAGGCTCAAGTCAGGAGGTGTGATGGAATACTCCCCACTTGCCTGGACGGGTGCAGTTCCAAAAACACAAAAAGCTTGACATCATCCAGGACAAAGCAGCCCACTTGATTAGAACTACATCCACAAGCATCCACTTCCTCCACTACCAACAATCAGTCACAGCAGTGTGTACTATCTACACAATGCGCCCAGAAATTCAACAAGGATTCTCACAGTATCTTCTAAATCCATCATTACTTCCATCTAGAAGGACATGGGAACACTAACACTACCACCTCCAAGTTCCCTCCAAGGGACTCTCCACCCTAATTTGGAAAATATAATCGCCATTCCTTCACTGTCACAGGAATTCCCTCCCTAATGGCATTGTGGGCAACCCACAGCAGGTAGACTGCAGCAGTTTAAGAAGGTAGCGCACCACCATCTTTTCAAGGGCAATTAGAGACGAGCAATAAATGCTGGCCAGCTGGCGATGCCCACATCCCACAAAATGAATAATTTTTTTTAAACAAGTTGCAAAGAATTTTCGATCACCCACAACAATGAATTTCAAGTGCTCTTATTTTCCCTAAGTTCTTTTTGGCATTCTACTTCATTCTCTTCAGGTTTCCATCAGTTAATTCCTGTTAGAATAATTTTATACGGCTATGAAGAACACAAACAAATCTAGTTTGAATAATTCTCCAATTTATGTACTTCTTAGTGTAGACGATGTACGCTTATCCTCAAATTAATATCTTCTTCCTCAAAATCACTGAACTGCGGCTGCATTTGCATTCCTTTTTTTAAAAAACCTCGAAATAATGGACTGAGAAGGTGCAGGAATCACTGACCTCCAACTTCTCTGGGCCCTTTTCTCAGCCGGTTGGCATTCTGCTTCTCACATCTTACAATTTCCGTCCAAACATGAATTTCCAAAAGACACGACCATCAGCATCTGTCTCGCAGCTGTATACGTCGATGATCTTCATCCACAATAGTTACCAAACAATTCCTACATTAAGTACATCTCCGCTACCAAAGTAAATACACATACCTGAAGCTTCCATAGACAATAAGTAGAATCGAGATGAGGAAGGTAGAAACCTGACTGGAATCCACAAGGGAATAGGCCCTTTAGGAAGAAATGGAAAAATTTTGATTACTACACATAGAGAATACATCATTCAACATTTTAAAAATAATTTTTCAAAATATTTTGCTTTCATGTATCAGCAAGTTTCTGCAGGGGCCAGCTCAATTATCAGGTTCCAGGTCCAATTTCTAGTTTGTGCAATGTTAGCTGATGGGTAGCAGTCAGTAAAATAATGCAGATACGGCTCAGCAATCTTACTGACCTTTGTTAGAAATGCAATTTTATATGGTCAGCAGGTCTACACTGTGACATTGCTGCAATTGAACAGCTCAGAGATTTATTGTCAAGGCCAGGCATGATTAATACAATTAATACAATTACCAACATTGGCGTCAGCCCTGATTCAATGGCAGCGCACTCACTTCCAAGTTGAATTCAGAAGCTGAATTCAAGCCCCACTCAATAGATTTCAGTACACATTCCAGGTTTATGAATGCATAGTAAACTGGGTTCATCCTCTCAGGTGGATGCAAAAGATGCCAGGCGAGTTCTCTGGATCTCCTGGCCAACACTAACCCCTCAAACAACACGACTAAAAACAGGCAAGCTGGTAATTTCTCTCAATGCTTTGTGCAAGACTTTTCTGTTGTGAAAATTGAAAGTCACATATAACTATTTTAAAAATCAGCACATTTCAGAAGTGCCACACCAGCTGTGAAACAACTGCATTTCATTATGAACACATGACAGAAAAACTTTTAAAATGCCATATTAAAGGTATTTTTATTATGCGAACTGTTCAACTGACTAGGCAGAATAGAGTTTTAATCATACTACACAAACAGTTGTGAAACAGCAAAAGTAAAGACAATTCTGTAATCTGACCAATAATCAACCTGGGAATTGTACAAGTATTCAACAGAAATGAAAGCATGAACTCGCATTTATTTAATCTTTAACGAAGTTAAACATCCAGTGATATTTCATTGAAGTGTTATCAAAAAAAAAGTTTAGTACAAAACCAAATAAGCAGCTTTTAGGACAAGTGACCCAAAGCCTGGTCAAAAAAATAATTTTTAAAAGAGCGTCCTAATACAGCAGAGAGAGAGAGGTGGAGGTGCCAACAGGGCAAGAGATTAAAGGAGAGAATGCTAGAGTTTAGGGTCCAGGTAAGAAAATGGCACAGCCACGAATGTAGGAGTGCTTAAAGTCTGGGATGCATAAGAGGACTGGGGGACTACAGAGTAGTGAGGATTGTAGTGCTGGAGAGAGGAGACGAAAACAAAGGTTTTTTTTAAATTGAGGAAATGTTTGAAATAGAATGCAGGGGAACAAACACAAGGCTGGTTGATGAACAGGACTGGTGAGAATTTGGACAATTGACTTGAAATTTTAAAAGAAGTATGCTCTCTCTAAAATTTGTTTTAAGGCAATTGGCTTATGTTTGTTTTATTTGAAAGTAAAAGCACTTATGCTCCTCAACTGTCTTTTAATATCCTCCCATTCCGAAGGCACTCACTTCTGTCAGCGGTATATTTCTTTAGCTAATACCAGCATATATTTTTGGTCTACGAGTATTACTTTTGATCTATAGGTATCAAGAGAAAGGGCTTACAGGCTATTTAAATGACTGAAAGCAACACAGCTGAGGAAAGGTCATGCTCTCTTCCAATAGCTATGCGCACACAAACACTCCAGCTACTGGAGAATGATTAGCATCAGGAACCCAAACTCCATTGCCAAGGTCAATTGATAAAAGCCCCAACTGCAGACATGATTATCATCTGTGTTATGGAAAAAGTTGTTCATTTTGATTTAATTAAATATACCACTAAATATGCTTTGCCAAAGTCAAAGAGTTAAATTTACTTGCATTGGGACCAAGGATGAAGTTCTATTAATTTATTTCTAAAGATTTAAAACAGGCCATTTATAGGTTTTCAGAGCCTATAACTTGGTGAGGGTGGCTTTTGAAACCACTTCTATTTGTTTCCTAATAGCTGTACTGCAATTGTTGATAGAGAATGCTGTTAAGCTTTTTAAGACAAGGCTGTTGCTATCTTGGACAGTTTAATGCAAATGTTTTGTTGGTTACCACTAAGTTAACAATGATCAAAAATGAAACTATTTTTCTTTCCAAGCTTTGGTTTTCCCCTACTATTTAAATTATTGATTTGAAACCAGAAGAGTCGCAGGTGACAGTTGTAGTGAAAAGGTACCTGCTTCCTAATTTTAACTCCTACAGAATTTTGTTCTCAACCTTTGAAATGGATTATTTTTGACAAAGTAAGTAGTCTAGTATAGGTAAAAGGGGTGCATCTGTATTTTGTGCTGGAAATGCTGTGCACACACTGATTTTATGTCAACTCTCTCTAAACTTACAGCAGTGTAAAGATAATCTGAGCATTCTGCACGAATAATCAGTTTCAGGGATAAATATATTTTGCAGTGGAGAAACTGTGGCTAAATATCAAATCCACAAGAGTTAAAAAAATCTGGTTCTGCCTTGTGAAACCAGTATACTTTCAGATGTGGTAAATCTAGGTATACATACCTGCCTTGGCATGTCGCTCTTTTATCAGTTTTGATTTCCTGAAATCTAGTCTCCACATACGACGATACAGTTAAAAGCAGGATTAAACTACTTGGCCCCTCGATCTCCATCCATTATTCAATTAGATCACAACTGATCTAATTACAATATATTCCTGCCTACCCGTATAACCTTCCATCCCCTTGCTTACGAAAAATCTGTGTGGTCTCTGGATTCAACATCTTCAAAAAAATTCTCCTCATTTGTGTTTTAAAAGGAGTGACCCATTATTTTAAAACAATGATCTAGTTGTAGATCAATCTTGTCTATTAAAATCATTAGTACAGAAGAGGCCCTTTGGCCCATCGAGTCTGGACCGCCAAAACTATGCTAAATCTACACTAGTCTCACTTCCTGCACTACAGCCATAGCTTGAATGTTAGGACATTTTTAAAAGAAAATACTTGGATGAGCATTAGAAATGTTGTGAAGTTACCTACCTCAACTGTTCCCCGCCCAGCCAGTGCATTCCAGATCCCCACCATCCTCTGGGTGAAAAACCTTCTCCTCAAATCCCCTCTAAACCTCCTGCTTTCCACCTTAAAAGTGTACTCCTTTGTTACTGACCCTTCAACTAAAAAGAACAACTGTTTTCTATCCACCCTATCCATGCCACAAAGAAAACAATTCGAGTTTACCTAACATCTCTTCATAGCCAAAAATGCTCCAATCCAGGCAGCGTCCTGGTGAATCTACTCTGCACCTCACCAGTGCAATCACATCCTAAACAGCAGTGAGCAGAAGTTCACGAAGTACTCCAGCTGTAGCCTAACCAAAGTTTTCGCAGCTGCAAAAATAACCTCCCTGCTCTTATAATCTATGCCTCGGCTGATAAAGATGAGTGCCCAGTTTGTCTTAAATGTCCTACTAATCCCCTGTAAGAATTTGAGGGCAATTACCTGAAGATCCCTTGGCTTCTCCAAGCTTCCTAATGTTCTCCCATTCATTGAGCAGTAGGTGGCCGAAGGACCAGAAGGTGGCTCATAGGGACTATCGTAGGTGGCCAAGACACATGAAAGTAGGTCTGAAATTTGCTTGAGACCAGATCAGCCAATCACGGGTCATTTCTCACCTCCATTTGCTGATGGACACAATGAGCAAATTGACAATTATGGAAGAGAACTGGCCATAGGATGTAAGGGTGCAAAAATATCTTTAATTTCCTCCCATCTTATTTTTAGCCACACCCTCACCCACCTCTGCAGGCTCGGTTCCTTAAAAAGGAGCACGAGATGATGGCAGAGATTAGGGAAGCCAAGATGCATCTACCTGCCTGTTTGTTGAGCAAGTGCAGTCGGAGTGTTAAACAGCCCTTGGACAGGAAGTGTACCCTCATAGCTATCTCAAAGTTGACAAGATGTTCAAACTGCCCTGGTACAGGGGAAGGAGGGAATAAGCCAGAGAGCAAGTCATAAGAGAGTCTGTGCGCGCTAAAGTGAATGAGCACACGCGCGCACGGTGGTGGGGGGGGGGTGGGGAAGAGCGGGAGATGGAAAGGACGGTAGTCTATGTAGGAGTAAGCCTGTGAGGGAGTGTGCAGGTAACGATCTGCCTGTCACCCTCCGCCGATTGATGGCCATCCATGCCGTCTCTGATTGCACTTTATAAACTGCAGGGTGACCATGTCTAAAAATGTGCTATCTATGCAAATCTCAGTCTCGTAGATGCACTGGTGTTCCTCCAGCCAATGCTCAAGCTCCAAAACCCGGCGTTCAAGCTGATCAAATCAGCATCACTTCCCACATATGTGGTCACCCAGGTTGTCAGGAGCAAAGATTCCACACGTATTGCAGGTGATGAAACTTATAGGACAGTGCCTTCCTGTCATACCTAGTGTTAAGTTTTAAACTTGCATTCAGTTTACATTCCTTCCCTTACCCTACTTTGGCTAACTCTCATTACTTTATTGTAATGGTACTGACTTTCACTTATTTCTGGCGCTTAAAATACACTTTTCTAATTTTTAGTAATTTACAGATAGCTCCTAACAGTAGCTTTTCTTTAAAAAAAAACAGCCAACAAATGTAAAGATTTTTTGCAGCGTTACTTATTTTTTCAAAGAAGAACTGACTACAAGACACTCTTCCTTACTGCTTCACTGCAATGCTGATTACAGGACACACTTCTTGGATTGCTTCACTGCAATGCCAATTCAAGGACATCCCTTGCAGACTTTTGTCCCATAAGAAACATCCTTTCCACATGCATACTGTCAAATCCCCTCACAATCAAGTTGCCTCTTACTCTAAAGTCCTGTGGTACAAGCCCAACCTTCATAAAACCAGGTATTAATGGAGTAAATGCTCACCGTCTTGCTGCGGGTGGGGTACAATGGTCTCTGAACTGGATGAACAAACAAAAACGTCACATTTTTGTTATGTTGAATAATAAAGTATCTTTGCATTGTGCATAATCTAAATTTTATAATAGAAAAGATGTCATTATGTTTTGCTTG